ATTTTTTGGCAATTTATATTTAAAAAAACATACAAAAATACAACAATGTATGCATGGTACAACAATAATTCATTTGCAGTTTCATGCTGCCTGTTGCTTACTGAAGGTCATTTCTGCACAGTGTCAAATATTTCATTTGAACAATAATAATTATAAAAAACGAACTAATTTAATAAATCATTTTTTAGTCTTAGTGTTGTCTTGACGCCTTTGTCCTAAAACCACAGAAAGAAACATAACAAGGGAAATATGTACTGGAGCTTACTTGAATTATGTAAGACTCATTATGTGATGACATCAGTAGTACCTTGGTCCATTGCAAGATAGAGGTACATTGCAAGATTGGGGCACTAAAGAAAGAAAAAGGGTAGAAAGAAAGAGAGGTGCATAGCAATGAATTGTAATGGTAATTCAAATTTATTACAAAAGTAATGATTTTCAGTAATGGTAATGGCTGTGATAATTTGTTTATTTGAGACATAGTGGCAGTGGCATTCATGCACATGTACCTGTGCTTTACTCAATTAGTGAGTCAGTGTCATACATGCGTAGGCTTGCGACAATTACCATTACAATTACCCAGGAATCCATTGACTTAAATACATGTACATTACATATCACTTATACTATCATTATGCTTCAGCCAATGCAACACAGCATTAATGTTACTTTATTGGACGTATCCAAAATAATCAAATGTACATGGATTCAATAATAAGACACTATACTCCCTCTCATTCTCAGTACATGCAGTACTGTACACAAGAGCACTATAGTGTGCATTGTGTCTTACTGGTACAATTTTGTTAGCATTTTATTTGCATTCCTGTTCCCACATTGCAGCAAGTGACAATGTCTGTGATATACCAATGTACTATAAAATAATAATAATAATAATGATGATGATGATGATGATGATGATGATGATGATGATGTTTGTATACATTAATGTATGTGCATGGTATTTTACAGTTGCTTACTGATACTAGAACTGTGTTAACACAAGAAAGAGAGAAGACATGTGAGAGACCTAGCAAAGGAACGAGAAAGAGCAAAAGTTAGACATAATTATGCGTACGTGTGTATGAGGAGGAGAGAAAGGTAAAGGAGAGAAAGGGGACAAAGATGCACAAGGACAGGAGTCAAGAAACACAAACATGAGAAGAGAGAAATATGCAGTACCTATTAACGATACATACATGCATTGGGAAAGAGAAGAACTGTTTATCATAAACCAATATGACATTGCCAATAATACTTAGAGTCAGGGTTCCTCATGAGATTTGGCATAGTGCTGATACAGCTTCTTGTCAATGGATTGTCAAATTGCTTTAAAATTGAGCCAAACACCCTGTACTATATACAGGGACACTGATCAAATTTAATCAAAAATGACAAAAAGAGAATTCTTCAATTTTATTATGTTTTCTGATGCATATACATGTAGGTACTTATGTCGCATAGAAAACTTGAGCCAATTCAGATAAAATTTGGATTTTTTATCAATTTTTAAATTTGCTCAAAAATTGAGCAGAACATTTTGTAGTACATTGTATTGTAGTACAAAGGGAAGTTTGAGTCCAGTACTTCCAAATTTCTCTATTACATGCAACAACGTTCACCAAATTTCATCAAAAATACAAAGAGGGAATTTTATCAATTTTACATTGTTTTCTGATACACATACAAGTACTTATGTTGCGTAGAAATTTTGAGCTGATTCCATTCAAAATTAAATTTTTAAATAAATTTTTAAAGTTATTGCAAATGTCATGTACTGTGCTGCGGTGCTAGTCGGCTCACAAAGCTCATGCTGTTTAGCTTACTTAGCATACTTTGGGGGAAACCCATGTACATGTAAACAAAGTTTACAATTACAATCACTATACCATAGGCAAGGCACTCTGGAAATAACAGTTATAATTGGGGTTTGAAATGCATGCAGGCAGCTATTTATAAAACTTTCAACAATAATTCATTTACCAAAAGTTTTGCTACTGAATAAACATTGATAAGGCCTAAATGTTTTTTTTCTATGCTAAAAATTCACCCTATACAGGTATATACATGTAGTAGGTAGTAGTAAAGCAAGCATAGACAAAACTACATCAAATACAATTACACTGTATCAGACCCATAACACAATTGTTGTACAATGACAACACAGTAGACCTGTATTGCAATTTCAAAGCCTGGTGGTTCCAAAGTACTGTAGTTGTGGTACCACTCAATGCTCAACAAAGCACACAAAATTTTACATGCATTATGTAGGAGTATTTATTTATCATTGACTTATTAATGAATACATACCATGCTCCAGTACTTTTTATTTCATCTTCATAAGATTTTACCAATAGTTAAGTCTTCACTGGTGAAAAATTGTCCTGCTCTCTAGATAGTAGCAGTAGCTAGAGCAGCCCGAGCTCCACCTATCTGAGTGGGTGTTCAGTCTGCGCATGCTCAAAGCACAGAGTAGAGTGCCACATTTGCCAGTCTGCCCCTGCTATGACTGGCTTGACTGCCACTATTTTGCTTCTGCTCTGGCTCTCCGTATCTTCTGTAATCGAGGCTACTAGTGGCAACGAGCCATTTGTTGATAGCTTAACAATGGCAGGTCGTGAGGAGGTAAAGGATGAACTGAGAAATACTTTAACCAGAGCTATCGAACTGCTTGGATCTCCGTATGCCATGGCTGACGAGGACGATATACCCCCTCTTCCGCCACCTATCATCTCAGTTCCACCCCGTAACAGTAGGACTAGGCCAATCGCGATGGGAGCCTCGGTGGGCCTGGGAGGACCTTCCTCTTCGAGGCCAAGTATGATGACCATAGGAGCAGGAGGACCCGCCGCTTCATCTTCCAGCGTAGATTCACCCTTCTCTAGCTCTAGCGAACGAACTGGTGAGAAATTACTGTGTTTTGGACTCGCAGCGCCATTTTATTGTTATAATTATTTTCTGATTGTCTTTCTAGGATTGGGCAGTGCCTCGTATACAGCAGCCAGGGCGCTGAGGAGTGTAAGATCTCAGGCGGAACAGAGGCTTAATTTTGCACCCTATCAAAGGAGAGCGGGGAAAGCCAGCTCCAAACCATTACAATTTACTTTTTTTTGTTTGCTGAATCGTGAGGCTGACCGAGTACCCACAACGAAGGTAATGAAATTGATGTTGTTAGATGCTGGTGCAGGGGAAAAGTCAGTCACCATGTCACCCTCACTTAATGCTAAGGAATTAAGAGACCAAATAGTATCGTCCTATCCTCTCCTAGCAGAAGGGGGTGGCTTTGAGTTGCTGAGGTGTGTGCAGAATTCACGAGAGCTTGAAGTCATACCGTACAACTTCACAACGACACCACGATACTTAAAGGCCTACGTGGGAGGAGGGAAGGTGTATATCAGACCACTCCAGAGAGATCTCTCTGTTCCTGTGGCCACTGCTGTAGGTGATGTAAGTGATGTAACTGTTTCTATAATCATGTCAACTTCTATTTGAATTTTATAGGTAAAGGAAAAGTGTTTGAAGTGCCAGGAACTCATTTTACTACCATTATTGAAAGAGCACATGACCAGCTGCAGGTATTGACAGCTAATAATTCTAATGTGTTCATGATTTCATCAATATAGAGAGGAACGTCTGATAGATCTTGAAGCAATGCTCTCCAAGTCATATTCCTCGATAGAAGATGTAATTGCTGACTTTGATATAATATTATCAAGATCTGATATGCCCGTTACCGTTTCCAGAGACAGGATTATAGAGGATTCTTTTCAACTGATCGAAGCTCACCCTCATAAACTACCTTCTCGTTTACTTGTAAGTATATTGTGGTGGACTCATGTTGTGCTGTTGCATCCACAAACCACTCGTGTGCTGTTGCAATATTTTTAAAATGAAATGAAAATCCCCTATTTTATGAACAAGCATTAATTTTGTGACATTTTTATTTTTGCTTACTGAAACAAATTTTAGCACTTAAAAGTGATTTATTTTGTAGCAATACATAATGTGGCTAAATCTATTTTTAGATATCATTTGCTGGAGAAGAGGGCTGTGATGCTGGTGGGCTCAGTGCTGAGTATTGGACACTGCTTGCTACTTCCCTGAAAGATAAATATTTTGATGGCGAGCAGCATTGTGTTGTTAGGAAGAATGCTTATAGTGTACTTGTGAGTGTAGTATGTTTACTTGCACATTGCTTTACTTAATTTCATTTATATAGCATAATGAATTTCTCAAGATAGGAAGACTCTTTTCTTTAGGAATAGCCAGTGGCTTTTCTTTTCCTTTCTTGGCTCACTGTGTATATGATTATTTATGTGGCTGGAATCCAGTAGATATCGAATTTGAAATTGAGTGTGTACCATCTAGTGTAGTTAAAGAGAAAATAAAGAAGGTATCATCATTACTTCTTCAATTTTACTTTATTTTTATCAGATTAATGATTCGGAAAATTTAGAGGAATTTCATGAAGCTATTGAAGGGAGTATGGATATTATAGCTGAGTCTGGATATACTAAACCTTTATTAAATTTGAAAATTGAGGAAAAGGAGGATTTAGTTCATACTCTACTCATGTACTTCTGTTTATTGATCAGCAAGGCGGAGTTGGATCAAATGAAAGATGGTCTTCAGTATCTGAATCTCTGCACTTACATGTCTCGTCACACTGAGCTTTTCAAGCCTCTTTTTTCGGCACCTGAGATAGATTTGACAGCTGGTATATAGATATGCCACAATTTTATAATTTTTATTCTATTCGATATTAGATATATTATTGTCATTACTGACTGTGAATTTTACTGATGATGACGATCTAGAGCGGGATGCTTACGAATACTTTAAAAGATATCTCAAAGATTGTGAAGGTAACAATGTTTGTTTCATGTTAAATGACTGTTAGTTTTACTTCAGATATTGGAATAGTTCCACTGCAAAATGTGCTCCTTTATTTTTCTGGATACAAGTACCTACCCGTATTCGGCTTTCAGTTCTCTCCAACGTTGACGTTTCATGAAGAAACTTATCCAATGGCTTCAACTTGCGCACTTAGCTTAGTAATACCTAAGAAGCACACGGATTATGTCAACTTTAGACTGGCAATGGACAAGGCTATGGTTTATCATGGTGGTTATGGAAAGACATGATAACTTAATTGCACTTTTATCACTTTTACATTAGACATGTATCATTTGCTCTCATCATTTATTCTTGTCACTGGTTAAACATGTTATCATTAATCCTGACCCGATATGATAAAGCCAGGCTAAATGCTGCAAAGTTTACCTTACCTTACCAGAGCAAGTTATAATGAATTAGGCCCATTTCTCTATTCACTTTTGCCATTCTCTGTGCAGGGGAAAAGATCAAGTGAACATGCCAACTCCTGGAGCAATGGGTAGACTACTAATCAAGAAAAAGCATTTACCTTACATGATTTGCATGCAGCATTACAAAAAAAGGCCTGCAATAGTTATCATCTGTAACTTTTTCGGCACTCTTGACATCAAATGAAAGGGAATTCTTGATTATTTTACACATTCTGTTTTGACAACCATTATCTCTAATAGTTCCCTGGTTTTGTCAATTAATTTTAATGCACTTAAACATGGCCTTATCCTTTATCATTCACTATGTATGAGCCTCTGATAATTTTATTCTGTATCATGATTATGACTGAGCCTCCGCAATCTAAAGCATTATGTTGTTAATATGTTGTTAATGAAAAGATGAAGTTATTAAGTACAATCAAACATGATACAATTATAGTTATGTCAGTAGTTCACACTGAAACAGAGTTAACATAGTCTCTAATCTGAAGGTACAGACCAACTCCAAAGTCATCTCTCTCTTCAAGGACATCAATATCTTTCAATAATACCAGTTGCTCATCAGTAAGAGGGCAAGGTATCTGTGGAACAAATGTCTCATTATCATCATCATCACATTGCAATGATACAGGGCCATCCCAGTCAATTCCATATCTGCAATCCTATATTATTGTAATTAAAGGTTACACCGTATAGGGGGTATATTTCAAGGGGATTTAATTTCACTAATTTCGCGGTTTTAAAAAATTCGTGAAAATTTTTATCTATGAAAATTATTTTTTTACCATACTAATAATCTTAGAAGAAAAACGCAAAAATTTTTTCTTGTGAATAGGTTGAAAGGTGATATTCGTGAAATATTTTCCCCGGGAAATATACCCCCTATACAGTATCAAAACTAACATACAAATAATGGGTGCATGTAGGTCCTGTAAAATAATGTGTCCCATTTAGTGTGTGTCTATATGTGTGCATTGTACGTGTGTGTGTGTGTGTCATTTTCACTGCTAGCTAGCATTCCCCTTTATGACATTATCTCATTGGTGAATAAATTCAGAAAAAATAATTAATGGGCGTGGCTCATAAATTGACAAAATGGAGGAAAAGTAATAGAGGCCCTTTACCTGAGAAAATTTACTTAATAACCTCTCGGCAACATAATGTACTTATTATTCATTTGGAAACTTATAAAAATGAAATAATGACTGATACAATAAACTCACATAATCCAATGTGTTGACAACATCAGTATCATTCATGGTTGCCATTCCACTGATCCACAACTGCAAAGGACTCCTATTGCCCTCAGTTCTCATACGATGATGACTATACGTCTCACGGAATAACTAAAAAAATTAAAGTATCATTGGATGCTAAAGTTGATTCACTGGATATACCTTAATGTGATGAGCGATTCTTGGTTCAAAGACATAGTGTAAGCAAAAGAGGTCGTACATATTTGTATGACTAAGGGCCTCAATGTCTTCTAAGTAGTAGAAGATGTAATAAAAGAGAGATGTACAACCAGCAAAGAGGTCCCTCCAAAATCTCTCAACACGCTGATTATGGACACTCCGTCCAGTTATGCAGCTACCTCTTTCAGGACCACGTTCATTCAACATAAACTGTGATACTGCCACATTCTCCCGTCCTTTATCACAGCGGACTCTAGATGGAAGTCCATACTCTTTGACACCATTCAAAAAGCAATTGAGCATTGTGGATGAGCGGTTGTTGTTGTGCACTTCAAGAAAAACAGGCAGGCGAGAAAAACCATCGATGCCTCCAAAAATTACAAAGTTCCATCTGATCAACTTATGGTTTGTATCTATGTGCCACAAACTATTAGGCATTTTAACAGAATAGACTCGGCGATGAAGAGCTTTTCTGCGCCTCTCTTGCACACCACATGGATCGACTCTATACAAAGAATCTCTGATGCGAACACGTTGTATTCTAAGAGAACGAGCTCTTAAGTAACCTTCAAAGCTTCTTTGCCCACTGAAAGGGTGATCATGTATGAAATCCTCTGCCAATGTGTCAAGTTGATCATCAGTAATATGACTATATTCGTTAACACATTCCAGTCCAAATAGGCTTATGCGACGTGAAATGGTCTTTGGTGAAACCAGTAACATGTTTGCAATTTCAACATTCTTGAAGTTGTTTTCTTTCAAAAAACGAAGTTGATCTTTCGGTATATAAATGGCAGGTCTGCCTCTTCCTCGACGACTGGCACAAAAATGATTAATTTCTTCCCTCTCTACTGACACAGCTATAAGACACGCTAAGTTTCCAATAGCATTCATGAAGTGACATATTGAGTCTTCATTAACTCCCTGCAAACTGTCAGTGATTAAAAAAGAGAAGTCTCGGATTAATAGCTCCAACTGTAATAGAGCAGCTTGAGGATCAGACTCACCAGATTCAATTTTTACTGGTAAGTCTTCAAGATAACTGATAGCAGAATCGAAGAAATTGTGTAGAAATCTTTGCTCGGCCATATCAATGGCCATGACACACTCACGATCACGTGCGAGATAGGCTCCTCCTCTTGTAATGACCACGCCCACTAAGGTGTAGGTGCGTTATTATTTATGATCGATAATGAATGCAAAATCGATCAAAAAATCGATCAAGAATTCGATGCATTAATGAGGCGATGCGCTTCGCGCATCGCCACATCACTTATCTATAGCTAAATCAATATTCCTATTTTTGTCCACTACGGCGCTCCATATGAAACTACACCCTTAAAACCAACTGCTCTTTTATCTTATCTACCTAGTTTTGTTTGTTTAGTGTAAACACAACTTTAACCAGTTACTTTACTAAGTAGCTTAAGTAGTTTAAATCACTTCTGGGCTAGTGTAAACGGGGTAATTTATTTTGAATATTTTGAAGTGGTTCAAAATATGATCTAAAAACATGATGCATAATAGATCTAAGTTATATGACATACCCTACTTGTGCTGTGGCAAAAATAGGAATATCTGGATTGTTGCTTGACTTGATGTCCAGGCCACCAGGGCTAGCCGAGCAGTACAATGTTACGCTGCTTCCCAGAGGCACAGTTAATGGAAAACATGTCAAACTGACATCTCCCAGGCACAATGTAACTAAATCTTTGAGAGTGAGATTGTGAGAAAGTAAGGCAGTTGTGGTAGCAATTAATAGTCTCGAGACTTACTTGTCAGCAAGATAAAGGTGCTCTCGAAGGTGCGTGGCTCTACGAACATTCTTCTGGTGATCTGCTCCACATCATGAGCAAGCTAGGCTTTACACGGCTGTATATGTACCCAACCAGTGAGAGAGCTGCTGACTCGTGATATCTTTCTTACTTTGGAAAAGCCCCAAAACATACCCTGAAGTATGCTTTTTGTGCTATTTTTAGATCTACAATACATAATATAAAATAGCCCTGGTGGTTGTGGTTTCTCTATCATAATAAGTAGTTGTTTGATGTGTCATAGAGATGCTGGCATCATGCTGCTGTAATTTGTCCTACTACTACAGCTACAATTGTGTAAGTTTTAATTGGGAAAAGCACATTTTAATCTTTAATAATCATAAATATACTACGGGTAGTATAGTCTATCTATGTCTTAATTCAGTTGCTTCAGCTACAGTACATAGCCTTGCTTGTGGTGACAGTGATGGGTTTTATAATGATGATCAGGCCCTGTCTATACTACTGAAACTATAGCCTCAACTAATGCAAGGACATATTATGCTCCTAGAGAAAGTCAAGTCTCCTTACTTTTTGCTGACACTGGATCACAATGAAGTGAAATTATTATAAAATATATAGATCTAGATCTATGTTATAAACTATAGATTATATTTTTTAACAAAGGGTAAAAAATTAATGATTACAAATACTAGTAATAGCCAAACTCACATCTACTTAACTACAAGTTTGTAATGAAGTTATTATAATCAGCACGGGATAAAGGAAAACTAATAACAAACAATATTTAAGAGCTGAAGTCCCTATAGTAACAATATAATAAGTTGATTATAATTAATTAACACTTTACCTGAAGGAGTTGTGTTAGTTCCATTAGTGTTGGGTCCTGACTCAAAACTTTGAGTGCCATTCTGTTCATAAAGAACAAGGAAGTCACCATTAATCAAAAAAGTCCGTAAAGAGTAAGTTATACTCTTATTTCCAAATACTTCTATGTATAGCGGAGGAGCGTCTTCTTTTTGAATGGTAATGTTGTCTGACCGGACAACATTAAGCTCCAATAATCTGCTTGGTTTTCGCTCTTCCACTACATCAAATATGTATGTGGTGCTACCATGCTTACTCTCATTTTTTGAGATTTGAAACGGAGATTGCAAGTCTATAGAAAATAAAACAAAACTGCTATAAAAATCATAACATTGACCTACCGATTAGAGCTGTCACTGTTGATGAATAGTTAGTCACATAGTGACCAACTAAAGTCAAGTTGTTAACAAAAGGTCTAGTCCCATTAACTCTGAAGTAATGAGTGCAGGTACTTTGAGATACATTAGCCTTTTCATCACCGTCTAACCACACCTCGACTTCTTTTAAAGGCAGTTGACTCTTCGAGCACTATTATTAATAATAAATACCATACTAAATGAGCAAGACCAAATACATCAGTAATACTCTTATATGTATCATGAACATAAACTATAACTTACATTCCATGACAAGCTTGTTAAAGAGCATCTATTATCTTCATTCCTGTCTTCACATAGTACAGTAGCATGAGGATCCAAACGAGGTCCTATAAGTGATTTCAGTTGCATTTAATTTATACAAAAATAATACAAATAATAGTTAATTATGAAATCAATTATGTGGAATTGTGGATTACTATAGTTTACTTACTTGGGTACGACAGAAGACAACTATCGTATTCTCCATTGGTTATGGAGGTGCACGTGAGATACGTATTCAGAAGCGGCAGGCTCACGTTGAAACTGATTGCTACTCTCAGTATTGCTGACGTCTTCTCCACAACAGACACTGTGAGTAGCCCACGGGTCATTGTATGCCTATAATAGAAGTGCACAAATACATATATAAGTATAATGTAATAAAGTATCAGTATAATTATGTTATAATTATTGGCACCAGCTGCTTAGCAACATTTGTGGTTACATTCATTTTGTTAATTAACATGTTTTCATTTTTAGAGCATGACACTGCATTACAAATAAAGTACGTGTAACCACAATTGTTGCTATAGTTGATCCTGAAACTAGTGCAGTATTTATATCATATTAAAAAGTGTATCCATGTGACATGCTATGATACTTAATAATGCTAGCTATTTATTCCATGGCTCATATTTTACGTCAATGACAAAATGCAACTCGCAACTGAGCTATAAAGCAAATGGATCCCGTTGACTCTCGAGTGTAGCAATTGGGTTGAATAAGCAACATAAAATAGAAAGAAGAGAACAATGTTTTTCTGGGCGATCTACATACTGAATTTAAAATATACATGCATGGCCTCATTGGCCTGAGGTATGATGGCCCCTGTAGGATCATGTGTAAGAACTTTTAAAACCATTACACACATTAAGTAAGAGTAGTTATGACCACAGTTATGACATACCCTTCCTGTACTGAACCATATATTGGAACATCAGGCGGGTTACCAGCTAGGCGTATATCCAGCCCACTGGAACTGTCATTGGTTGAGCAGTAGAAGATCGTACTGGTCCCGGGTGGTACCGACAATCGAGGACAAGCCAGCTCAACATTTGCAAAAGCTTTATCCAACACCACCAATGCCACTAAAAGCAAGAGAGAAAAATATGCTATGTTAATATAAAATTTGCTAGCTCTGTGAGTCATTAATACTTACTCCTTAGCAAGACGACGACCAACAACATTTTTTTGGCACTCATTGTAGACTCCAGTGAGAAAATAGGTTTTATAGAAAAAGTTGGATGTCAGCTGACTGAGCTGAGTCATACTCATAGTTGCTCTGTCTAGCCTCTGTGTATTTCTACTAATTAAATGATGAGCTAAAAAGCAAGAGCGGGAAATTGCTGGGAATGGCCCATGGAGAACACCATTGAAACTGGCCGGCCGGTAAGTGTCAGTTCTACGTCAGAGCCCGCCCTGCAGCGCATGCAGCGCAGCATGAAGTGAATTCTTGTGATTTTCATTTTAGTTAACTTATGATGTCATCTCTACTCAATTACTCATGTCACATGCTATTCATATCAATGCTACTCCCTAAGCTGTGCCTGTGTCTGACAAGAGATGATGCAGTTAATATTGCTTCTACAGCTAGAACTACTGCTTTGTAAGTTTTGTATAAGAACTTTTCAATATTTTTCTCTTATTTAAATTTTTCAGTTGCTTTTAGTTCAGCTACAGTACACAACCTTGCTTGTGGTGACATTGATGGGTTTTATTGTCCTAACACCACAATAAATTTCACCTGCTCAATATCCAGTGCATCGCTCCAATGGGAGAGTACAGCATTTTCAGGTGATATTGAATTCTTTGGCTCCCCAATTGGTACTGTACGTAGCAATGGTCTTTTTACTGCAAGATTGAGTGATAAGACTGGAAATGCAAAGGCAGTGAGCGTGCTTTCGTTTCCTGCAAGTGTTCCACAGGTTAATGGATCTGTTGTTATTTGTCGTGACCTACAAGACGGGTTTTGTGCTAGCTGTAAAATCAATATAATTTATCCAAGTGAGACCATTAATGTTTTGACATGTTTCATCTGCTTATCAGGTATATCCTTAACACATTTGAACATCAGTGCTGTCCAAGTTTCAGTAGATAGCGTGAATGTAAAGTGGCAACCCCACCACTCATCTTACAGCTATACTGTTACTATTGTACCATGTAATGCAACCAACGCCTACTGCCAAAGGAATAGTTCCCCCACAATTTTTACAGGGCTAATCCCCAAAATCAATTACACATTTACGTTGAGAGCATCCAGCTGTATGGGTAGCAAGGAGAAAGCCATTAACTTCAGTCTAATCCATTACAGTAAGTTATTCAGTTTAACTAAATGTGACTTTGATTTTATCTGCACACAAATATAGGACCATTTAAACCCACAGATGTTACAATGTGCACTATTTACTCCAATGACAGCTACTACGTCAGCTTGCAATGGACAGTAAGTTAATTATAATAGCCAGCCTAATAAAATTCAAATGCATCTAATTTTATTTAGTATCCAGCAGCACAAGGTCCTTATCACACTTTGCCACTGTATTTCCTTGTGGAAACAATTGATGATTTGAGAGATGTTTTGTATCAAAGCCAAGCCTCACCAGAGGAAGATCACATGTATATTTCATCACTTGTTCCAGTACCTTTCAATACGACTATTCATGTTAATCTGCGGAGTGTTAACATGGTTGGAATGAGTGAGAACACAACTATTTTTACAAGTAATAATAAATGTAGCTGAGCATGCAAAAGCCATCATTTTGATAATATTTTTCTATAGATGCTTCAAACAGAATATTTGTTGAGTTTCTTCACATCGGTACTACAACTGCATTTTTAAAAGTAATAATTAAATGGCCGGATTCATGTAGCTCCATAGTGACAGTTATGCTGTCATATAAACAAATGACTAATGTCTCTAATGCAAACACAGAAGCTTTTCACTATCATTTACTAACAGATCAATATGGAAAGATAGTGTTTATATCTGACCTACAGCCAGACACTTGTTACTATTACAGTATCAGTGTTTTTAATGATACTAATCAAATTGCTGAGCCAGTGGAAGGTGAATTCAGGACACAGGCAATCGAGGATTACAGTGAAATCGTTCAAACAAGTAACTGAAATTGATAATGATGCTCTTTATTATTTCCTTGAAGCTTCCCATAGGGAGAAACAAACCTCAACTCTCTTGACAAATTCATTTTTCTTGCCTCTTATCTCTACCGAGGATGCTACCAGTTATAAGAGTTATATAAGTAATGTCGTGTTCCTAATATAATTTTATTAAGCAATTGTATATTATAGTGTCATCTACAGCTATTGTTGTTCTTAATACTAGTATGAGTAACAATGAAGCAACAGAAACCATCAAACCATCAACCACAACAAATCATAATGCGACTACTTGGGCTTTATTAGGAATAAGTCTAACATCTTTGATTTTTCCTTTATTAGTTTTGATTATTATTAGTGCCGTGAGTTGTGTGTGCTGTTTCAAGTTGAGAAGAGCCACAAGATACAGAGTGGAATGTCGCGAAGCACAGCGACGCTATGAACTATCTTCTACAATAAGCATACTAAACATGGAAGAGAACAATGCTTACGGGCAAATAGAACTTGCCCAAAGATGCCACAGTTATTGTAACCAAAATTAATTGTTTTGATTTTTAAAAATTGTTTTAAAAATAAACACACGTGCAGACACGTGTGCAGACCGCAGGCTAGAGCCACACCTGAACTACGCCCTAATTCCCTCCAGGATCCACAATGTCTGCTTCTACAAGAGAATGGATCCTTTCCAGTCCTCTGGAATAATCCTACAGTCTATTGTAATGCTAAGTAATTGGTTTGATGGTTGATTCTTACATTTTATTTCAGGGACCGTGAAAAAAATAATAGTACAGTAGTAAGAGATCTAAACGATTACTATAATAAAGTCACGCCCAGTTACAATGAGACTCGGTACTCGAAGATTGCCAGAATCAGAATGGCAGCTCGCTACGAGCCTAGCGTTGAAACAAAGCCAGCTCCAGGAGGGCGCAAAACCTCAGTTACCTTTCAACCAAAAGTCTCAGTCTATTCCACTGCGTCGGGTATCATTCAGCCAGAGTACTGGTACCATTTCCCGCGGGATCCCACAATAGGTAAACAAAGCAGCATTTGCATGCACGCACTCATGATGATGTGTATTAAAATAATATCTCCAGATGAAGGGGATGAAGGAGCCAAAACAGAGACAAGCAACTGGTGGCTGTGGATGATGAAGAACAATAAAGCTAGGCAGTCTTTTCGTATCCTCTCCTTTGCCAATTTGATCGTCCTCCTCCTCTCAATCCCTTTCTTTGAAGATTCTGATAAAGCAAAACTCCAGATACAGTACAGCATAATCACTGTACTGGATGCTATACTGGCTCTACTCTTTACGTTTCAGTTCTCACTGAGAACTTGTTACTTAGTCTCTCAACCAGTAAGAACTATAGATCATCATAATATGTGTGTGCTATGCTAAAGGTAGTGATAGCTACATTACACTATGTATGGTCAATGCATAGCTTAAGTTGTATACTAATATCTTACTATGACCTTGTGTTCCTTTTTGTGCCCTACAAGAGCCCATATTTGACATAGCATTATCAGCTTATATTGTGTGTTTATAACAAACTAAGAGTTAATGATGCATTGATGACATCTGTTATTGTTATCCTCACTCTAGTGGGAAGAGAAGATTCAGTGTTATGATTGCGTGAGGTTCTTGAGTCTCTCTGGCGTCTTCATTTCTATCTGGTACTCTGTTGGAATTGGAGTAAGTAGCTGATGTGCATAGTGTAGCATGTTGGTAATATTGCCTTTCAGTGGAATGGTAATTACAATGAGAGTGATGAATAGGGAGAATGTACAAGTAGTTAGTGCTTTTGGTGAGACTTCACATCTCATTTTTGTACAGTGTCCTCAAATTATAGTTCAGTATTGATATACTTCCATAGAAAAGCATGCTATTGTCCTATTACTCTACTACACAGACTATAAGACTAAGTTGTTAAATGGGAGAACTATTCTCAACTGACTTAAATTTGTGTGTCCCTATTGACATTCAAGCTTACTATAGTAAACTAGTATTGCATGCTATTACATGCTTTTTGCTATAGCTTGTATATTAGGTAATTGATAACCATGTTCATGATGACTTGTGTTTCCTAGAATTGTAGGACTACAAACAAAATACTTTCTGCACCACTCCTACACTCATCATTATAATAAGCACATACCACAGGTGTATTTGAGCAGCCGTGGCTTGTATTTGAGCCTAGTAGTTTTGAAAGGTTTTTAGACCAGTTTGAACTTTAACAAAGCTTTTTTGTGCAAGTATGGCCTTTGATCAACTTCTGTGTGTTTGTTTGTGTGTGTGTGTGTTGTTGTAATATAACTTAAGGATTACATTAGCGAGTAGTATTTACATGAATGGGTTCAAATTCTACAAATTCATGAACTGAAACAGAAGAAAGCATGACATTAGCGTTATAGTGATTGTTTAGATGAAATGAATCATCAAATACTATCTAATATTATAGTGTATCAGCTATCACTATTAGCATTATCATGTAGCTTACTATGCTACTATGCTTTGTCACTCTGGGGCTGCAATGAGATTTGACTAATTTACTCTAGAGCATTAATCTATTGTATCTCTACTTTGAATGATCCCAATAGAGAATTAGGGACTCATATGCTTATTTAATATGCGTACTGTAGGTGTATCGCTCAATTGAGGTAGAGATAAGTTGGTTATGGTATATTGGATTCCTACCACGTGCTATTCTTTCTGTCACTTCGGCAGCAAAGCTATTCATTCCATTAAAGATTGAGTCGTCGGTTCTACAGAAAGTGTCAACCATAATAAAGTGAGAGGAGAGAGTGTGAAATTATACTCAGACTGTATATAATTATTCCTGTTTATTAGGTGGAAGCAGCTTTGTAAAGTGACCATTTTTTATTTCATTTTTGTTTATATTTTTGCGCTATTCGGTGTACACTTAATTGGAGGATTGGACCATATCTGTGTATACAATGGGTGAGTGTATTTATTATCATTATCATTATACCGACCTCATCATTGTTGTATATTAATTCAGTACTGTTCCAGCCATCCCTATAACCCATTGTGATCCAGATACTTCAGTTTATTGTCCAAAAGCTGAGTTCAATGAGAGCTATCCGATATCATGTGGTAGCGTCTCTACTGTTGGAATAAAAAGAAGTGATAGCGTGTCTCTTAATTATCGGACTTATGTTAATTATGGACAATTTAGAACCATCTGTAAGTGTGTTTAGCTAGGTATATATATTATGTATATTTGATACTAATCATACTACTAGTGGATGGCCTGTATGCTGTGTATGAGGCATCCACATTGGAGTTGTGGAGTTTCATGATGATATCCGCTGCGGATGGTCACTCCGGTAAAACTGGCAGTGTCTTTGCTATTGCAATCTTTTACATGGTTCTAATATTGTTCATTGTCATATTGCTTCAAGTAAGTCGTCATTAATATATAATTGGCACTGAGATTAAGTCTTTTTGTATTATTATTATTATTATTATTATTATTATTATTATTAGCAAAGTATATTTCTGGTTGTTATCATTGAGTCTTTTGCTGACCTCAGAAGCCATTCAAGAGTTAAAGCACCACAGCTTAACCAGAAGCAGCAACCAACAAAACCATCAACAGTACGTGCATCTGTACTTTAATGAGCTAAATAATGGTATCAATATCTGTCTTGTAGTCATTACTCATTGGAAAATTGTTCATCAGTTCATCTGTGTATGCATAAATGCATGCTAAATACTTTAATGCTGTATATTATGAAGCTACTTTGAATGTTTTGCTTGTGTATCTCTAAAGCATTCTTTTAGTCATTATTGCTACTACATTCATTCCCTTTTTTGAGTCTGCTAAGCATGCTTTGATGTTTAGCATTCTTTGTCTTCTCAAACCCTCATCCTCTCCTCTGTGTCTCTCTGTCTCTATTACTACTATAGGTCCTCTCACTTGACAATGGGACACTTCGTCTTGTGTCAATGGAGAAGAACAGTCCAAAGGAGTTCACTAACAAGTATAAGGGCAAACTGCTCAAGATGGAGAAAGTGTTCCTTGTGCTGGTACTGCTTGATGCCATCATTACTAGCTTAAAAATGGCCGGTTTTCATGAAAACAATAAAGAAATATGGAGAATTTTCCTACAAACTTGGCAGGTAATGAGAGAATGTTAGTATGTACATTTTCATTTTTGTTTAGGCTTCTGTTAGTTCAGCATTTCTGGTGGAAGTGATTATATTGCTTTTGTTCCATCTCTACCACGGGCAGCTGAAGCTGTTTTTCAAGCATCCTTATTACATCTGTTTGATGGTCCTAGCTGTTGGTGGCATCATTGCTGCCATTCCTTCGAGACACTTTTATAATCCACTCTATCCAGCCAACGGATTTGTTGTTTTTCAAGTAAGCATTTCTAGTTAGAGCATGTACATGTAATGTATAATGTATATGTACATGTAATGTATAATGTATATGTACATGTATATTTGATAACATAAATAATACTAATGTATACGATGGTGCCTTGTTTTTGCTGATCCATGAAATTATGTGTGTGTAATAGTTGGACCAGGTGTAGTCCCTGTTGTTTATCAGTGACTTATTAAATTCTTAAAACAATAGTTTTGGAGCCTTTGATGTTAATTTGTGTTTGTGTTGTAGGCCCTTCGTCTCCCTCGCTTGATTCGGATGTCACGCTACCTTGGAGAGTTTTTCCACAAGTTAATGAGCAATGCTCGTATACCAATACTAATAGCTATCACTCTGGCTATTATTGTCTTCCTCTCAATCGTTAATGCTCAGATATTCACTTACAAGAAGTACAGTGATGAATGCTCTAATGCTGAAGAGCATTACAGCAACTTTTTGTCGGTAAGTGTTAGCAGCAATATAGTAATTATAGAGCATGTATGTTAAATTATTAATCAGCAAAGCATGCAAGTGTACACATATACAATTACAAATTTCTTGGAGCTAATAGGCATGGACTATAGTCCTAGTTTTTTGTGGCTGATGGCTTTTTATTTTCTTTGTTTGCAGGCTTTTAAATCAACATTCCAGCTAGTAATGAATGAAGCATGGACTGACATTACCAGTGAACTGATGTGTCTAAGTGGATACGAGTGGCTCTTTACTAATTTATATTTCATTGTAATTCACCTTTTTTCGTCCCTGGTACTACACTAATTTCTTAATTCGTCTGCTACTTTGCCTTTTTGTAGATTTTCTTGAATGTTTTCGGTGCCGTCATTCTTGATAATCTCGAATACGATGAAGAAGAGAAGCAAAGAAAACTCGAGGTGAGTTTAAATGATAAACACGGAATGCATGAATTTATGTAGTTCTTTGACAAATAGTTTTACAAGTAACACTCCATGCATTACATGTGAAGTATACGCTCCTTTGTACTTTTCTCTTGATGCTGTTGCAAATGCAAAATGATTATTATTTGTTTTATTATTATTAGAGTATCAAACGTAAGAAAGCAAGTGCTGAGACTGTTCCTATTCATTTGAGAATATTCAAAATGTAATTAATGTATTTGTACTTCATACAATGAGCTACATCAGATTGCATGAAACATGTGTCAAAAAAATGTCATAAAAATGGGGTGGGCACCATGATTTTTCCAAAAAATGGTTTCAAGATCGCTTCTTTATTAAATTTTATTTTTATGCTATGTCCTTCATTATCTGATTAATATAGATTAAAAAATCATCCTAAAATGCTTCGTCCGCCTGGTAAAGGGTTGGCTGATCCTAATTTAGAGTAAGTTTAATAATTTGTTATTCAGACTGAGTAGAACAATGAGTTCAAATGAATATTTTAAGAGGTAGCGACTTTTTAATAGTATTTCATTTTTGTAGAGAAGTTGAGGTTCGGAGGTTTTTTGAGTCAGCAGATAATTCTTCAGCATCTCTTTCATTAACTGATGCTACTCGTCAAGATGAACCGACAGCAAAACCTAATCAGAAATCATCTTCAAATGCAGGATCTGTAAGCAATGAAATCAGTATTGTAATATCAAGGGTATTTATATACTCTTGGTAATATGCATAAAAGAATGTGAATGTTAGCAAATTTATATTTATCAAGCCCAATAAATAAGTCATGAATATAGTGGATAGTTTGTCAATTGATTTTTATTCTAGCTAAGAAGTCTCTCATTAGTGACTAATGTTGAAGAAGAATTTAACATGTTTAATCCAAATTATGAAAGGAAATATCAAACAGTTGCTTCACTATTAAAGCAAGTCCTACACACACACACACACACACACACACACACACACACACACACACACACACACACACACACACACACTTCAATTGCTGTATGTGTGTCTTATTCTCTGTGTCTAGATATGTGAAGCAATGGCGTCATAAAGCTGAGGAGAAGGATACCACTAATACTCGCTCTTCACAGCTGCCTTACCTGTTTGGTGATTCAACAAGAAATCAAGGAGACAAAACAAGGTAAGGGAGCAATGTATACATGAATATTAGCATAAGAATTTAAATGAATATAATGTATTAATTAATCAGATATTGATCATTGCATGTGCTATGTACATATGCATGCATTTAAATATGTGATTTATAATTTAATCTCGATAATTCCCAAGTTATAATTTATTATTTTAAATTATATCCCTTAGGAATAGAAGCGAATTTGATGAGTACCGTGAAAAACACCGCTGCTTTGATCTGGCCCTTTTCTGTTTGCCTCCAGAGAATAAATTAAGAAAGTTTTGCACGTTTTTGCTGACAGCCCAGATAGAGTGAGTCAACATTAACCAGTAATTGCCTTATGAGTCATCCTATGACATCAACAGAACTCCCAAGTATGAACTGATTGAGGGGAAGCTCTGGGTGTTATTTAAGGCTAGAGCTATTTTCTTAATAAAGTAAGAATATGTTTATACACTTTATAAAATATAAGCTATTTTTATAAAATAGCTTCATTCTATCACTAATACTATTATACATGTACATGTACGTACATACCTGTTAGCTTCATTCTGTCATCCATGCATGTACATGTTACATTAGGTGGATCCTTAGTCAGATGCCCTTCTCTACTTGGATAATGTTCCTTACTCTTTGGTTTATGATAATTATTCAGTTTTATGAACTCACTGCTCTTATTTTTACTCCAAAGAACGTACACCATTACATCATTGTGAGTCACATTAGGTTAACCAGCATCATTTAGTGTATGATGAACACTCACTCTAGGCCACTGAAGTCTTTTATGTCATTGTCATGCTCTCTTGGCTCCTAATCAGAGTACTATCAAAAGGTTTCTTTCTGAATCCACATGCTGCCATTAGCAGTATCTTTGATGTAATGGACTGGATATTACTGATAGTAGGCATCTTTCATTGAAAATTGATTTTATAATAATAATAATAATAATAATAGGACAGTATTGTAGTGTTGGTTTTGGTTCCTATATGGGGAGCTGATATGAAGCGTTCAAGAGGCATAGTAGTCTTTGACAGTTTCTCGTTTAAAGATCACGTGTGGATCATTGTATTGATGGGTGTCAGGGCTTTGAGGCCACTTCATGTTATATCTCTCTTTCGCTCGTTACGCTCTGTCATTGGAGAGATACTGGAGGGATGGAGGAACTTACTGACTGCTGTTATAATAATGGTCGCATTCATGTTCATGTTTGCTAGTTTGGGAGTTCAGGTAAATTGGACTAAAAATGATTGTTAAAAATTGAAATTAGTGTATAGCCAACGTCTTATTTTATTTTGACTTTTTCTTTCTTCTCTCTCTCTCTCTCTCTGTCCCAATTTTTGTCTCATTTTTTTCTCTCAATCTCTAGCTGTTTGCTGGGACTAACGAAAATCCGTTAGCATTTTGTAATGATCCTTCCATAAAGAACATGAATGAGTGTGTTGGGGAGTTTAATATATCAGTCAGAGTATCAAAAGAGTTCCTTTACTTGCAAAATGTTACCAAAGAATATTTCATGCTTGTACCTAGAGTTTGGTATGTTCATGTCTTCCCTCTCTCTATTTGTCTCTTTTTCTTCCTCTCTCTTTCTCTCCCTCCCTCTCTCCCTCTCTCTCTCTCTTTCTCCCTTTCTCCCTCTCTCTCTCTCTCTCTCTTTCTCTTTTAGGTTTCCATATGCTCGTGATTTTCCATTCAATAACGTGTTATTTGCATTCATTACATTATTTGAACTTCTCACATTGGAGGGATGGATTGAAGTGAGGGATATGTTCCGTGATCACAGATCACAATTGGTAAAGGACATACATATCTATATAGGACATACATGTATAAAATGGACACATTTTATCTCATTTTCCTCTTTTGTAGTACATGAGTTTCTACATACACATTTATGTTTTCCTGGCAGTTAATTTGGGCCTTCAGTTGTTCCTTGGTATCGTTGTCAATAATTTTAACGAGCATAAGCCAGGCCATCGGTTTCTACTCTCTGTTGACCAGAACAGGTGGGTTGAACTAATGCAACGTATTTCGTTACAGAGACCTTATAAACTTCCTCAAGAGCCAAGTGAGTGATTTTTATATGAATCATTCATTAGGCTTCTCTTTTATAATATAGGACACAATGTCTTTCGATTGAAGTTGTATAACATAGTGACTCATAATCAGTACAGGATAATACCAACTATTTTTACTGTCCTTTCTACATTAACTTTGATAGTTCCTGTAAGTTTATTAACGGACATTTTATTCATCACTAGTTTTAAAACTTGTATATATTACCTGCAATGTAGTGTCATTGTTTTTTTATACCTTGATATAGTTACAGTTGTAATTAACGTGTTATTAAATTGCTAATATTATTTTATTGCAGTGGAGTCTTGAGCCAACAAAGATAATAAGTTTTCTTATTGTTTTGAATGTCATCTTTAACTCTTATGTTGTTATTGAGGTCAGATCATCATAATATTTCTATTTGTTTAACTTTAAGCTGTATCTACATTCTACAGGTTATAATGAAGTTTCTAGCATTTGGCCCATTGTATTTTCACAGTCGGAGGAACTTCTTTGACTTGTTTTTGGCTATTTCAATTGTACTGTATACCATTTTTGTATGCATTTTCTTCAACACTCAACGAGCATCAGTAAGCATGACTTTTCTAGTGCATAATAATGTAATAATAATTTCCTTCTTTTTAGCTATCTTATGTTGCATTAACTATTAGTATATTAAAGTGTTTGAAAGCTATGTTGCAATATGTAAGTTAGTAATCTGGTGTAATTATTATTATTATTGTTATTATTATTATTAAAATTGTTGTCATTATTATTATTATCACTTGGCAGAGTGCTTTGCTGAATCTCCTCATTACAGTCAGTACTACAGTGATGCGTACTATTCCATTGCTCCTCGTATTGATGATTATAATACTCTGTTATTCTTTTCTTGGTGTGGTGCTATTCAGTGATGTGAAGAAAGGGGAAGGAGTATCTTATAGGTTAGCTTTTAGTAGGCAAGTATCATTTTTAAAGCTTAATAATAAGATACTGTATAGCGGGAAATTTTGAAGAGAATTAAATTTGGCAAATTCGGCATTTCAACAGCCATTTGCCGAAATAAATCCCACCATTTTGAGCCATTATATGCATGCTTAATGGTACGTGGCCACAAATTTGCAAAATTAAAATTTGCTAATCACCAATTTGCCAAATTTTAGTTTTTCCAAAATTTCCCACTAGACAGTACCGTATAGCGGAAAATTTTGGAGGGACTAAAATTTGGCGAATTGCTAAATTTTGGTGATTGGCGGATTTTAATTTGGCGAATTGGTGGCCACGTGCATTGAGCATGCGTATAATGGCTCAAAATGGCGGGTTTAATTTTGGCGAATGGCTATCAAAACGCCAAATTCGCCAAATTTAATTCCCTCCAAAATTTCCCACTATACGGTAGTCCTTCATATCTCTGTTTATTTCTCTAGTATGGTTAATTTTGCTGGAGCTCTTCAGGCATTTGGTTCAATGTGGAGATGTCTAACCGGCGAAGATTGGTACCAGCTCATGTGGGATGTTGCTGTAAGTGCAATATGTCACCTGACTCTCATGTGATCCTCATTTGATATATAGTTGAGGGATCCTTTTGGCTCAAACAATGATGAAAATATACATGTAGTTTTCTCAATAATCATTTCTGTTCTGTACTTTGGATCATTTATTGTCGTAGTACCTTTCATATTACTCAATGTTTTTATTGGTAAGATTTAAAAGTTTTTCACTTTGACGTATCATTTTCGATTACTGTTTTCTGTACTAGCTGTATTGCTTGAGAATTTCTCTATATTCTACAATGATGATGATACTAACCTAAGCCTCTCTGTCATAAAAGACTTCAAGAGGAAATGGAGATACTTTGATACTCAAGCGAAAGTATGTCCACATTTAATGATAATGGAATAATAATAATAATACTAATATTTCTTCTCTTTTTATAGTCTCACATTAAAATCAGTAGAATAAAGCTTTTGCTGAGGACGCTAGAGCTTCAAGAGTTTTATAGCTTTAACCTTGGAGACCCAAGCCAGATAATTGTAAGAGACTAAAGGCCTTTTCACACTGGCGCACAGTTTTCAAAGCGCTTTGATGCACATCGATCTTGTTCACACTAGCAGCTGAATTATGTATCATTTTGTGTTCTTGTTGCCATTGGTTTACATTGATCGAAGCGCATCACTTCACATCAATTCACCTCTGGAGGTGAAGTGAGAGTGATGCTCATTGATGCACATCAATTTGAAACCACTCTAGACTGTGAACGCGATTAATGGGCATCAATGCGCATTACTTTGGTCAGTGTGAAAAGGCCTTAATTTAATCGTTTGCACAAACTGTTGTAGATTACTTCAATCTATATTCATACTTACATTTATGATTTTCATTGCAATCATGTGCAACAAATAAAATGAGTGTATTATGTATTAGTGCTAATTGGTATATAGGGAAGGTTCCCACATATTTTGACGGAGGATCCATTGTTGCTGTGGGAAATGGAAGAGGAGTTGCGCCGTGAAGTGTCTCAGTCTGTCAAAAAGAGCACACCTAATTATACTCAGGAGTCTGAAACTGATGGCATTGTATCCTTTCAGGATGTCCTGAGGTGGGATAATTATAATTTTTGATGCATATGCTGTGTAGAAAGTTTGAGTTGATTCCGACTTCAATTCTTTGAGTTATGCCAATTTTAAAAATTAGCCCATGGTTTTTTCCAAAAAATGGCTCCGAAATTACCCCCAATTTTTATTACATTTTCTGATACATATTGATGTCCTTATGTTATATAGAAAGTTTGAGTTGATTTCGACTTCAATTTTTCGAGTTATGGCCATTTTTAAAAATATGCCATTTTCAGAAAAATACCCAAGGCTATAGCCCATGGTTTTTTCTAAAAAATGGCTCCGAAATCACCCCCAATTTTTATTAAATTTTTTGATACATATTGATGTCCTTATGCTATGTAGAAAGTTTGAGTCAATTCCAACTTCAATTTTTTTAGTTATGGCCATTTTTTTAAATATGCCATTTTCTGAAAAATACCCAAGGCCATAACTTGGGTATTTTTCTAAAAAATGGCTCCGAAATCACCCCCAATTTTTATTACAGTTTTTGATACATATTGATGTCCTTATGCTATGTAGAAAGTTTGAGTCAATTCCAACTTCAATTTTTTTAGTTATGGCCATTTTTTTAAATATGCCATTTTCTGAAAAATACCCAAGGCTATAGCCCATTGTTTTTTCTAAAAAATGGCTGCAAAATCACCCCCAATTTTTATTACATTTTTTGATACATATTAATGTCCTTATGCTATGTAGAAAGTTTGAGTCGATTCCGACTTTAATTTTTTGAGTTATGGCCATTTTTTTTAATATGCCATTTTCTGAAAAATACCCAAGGCTATTATAGCCCATGGTTTTTTTCCAAAAAATGGCTCCGAAATCACCCCCAATTTTTATTACATTTTCTGATACATATTGATGTCCTTATGCTATGTAGAAAGTTTGAGTCAATTCCGACTTCAATTTTTTGAGTTATGGCCGTTCTTAAAAATATGCCATTTTCTAAAAAATACCCAAGGCTATAGCCCATGGTATTTTCTAAAAAATGGCTCCGAAATCACCCCCAATTTTTATTACATTTTCTGATACATATTAATGTCCTATGCTATGTAGAAAGTTTGAGTCTATTCCGACTTTAATTTTTTGAGTTACTGCTATAACCCATGGTTTTTTCTAAAAAATGGCTCCGAAATCACCCCCAATTTTTATTACAGTTTTTGATACATATTGATGTCCTTATGCTATGTAGAAAGTTTGAGTTGATTCCGACTTCAATTTTTCGAGTTACGCATGGCCATTGATTATGTACTATATTATGTGTTTAAATTACCAGCAAACACACTAATGTATTCATTACTGTTTAATTGTATTACTATTATACCTCATATAGGATGTTGGCTTATCGCTGTGAGGATATACACATGCGACTCGAATCACACGAACTCCATACAAGACAAGAGCTGGAAACCACCATACAAATTGATGTATGTTAATTATAATAATATACCGTATAGCGGGAAATTTTGGAGGGAGTTAAATTTGGCAAATTTGGCATTTTGATAGCCATTTGCAAAAATTAAAATCCATCCATTTTGAGCCATTAGAGGCATCCTCAATGGCATGTGGCCACAAATTTACCAAGTTAAAATCCGCCAATCACAAAAATTTAGCAATTCACCAAATTTTAGCTCCTCAAAAAAAATTTCTTGCTATACGGTACATATTGTCATTGTGTGCAATATGTACATGTATGCATATGCTACAGGTTGCAGAGATGTGCATACTAAAGTGGTTGAAGAAACATGTCAAACCAATCGTGGATTGGAACAGAACTCAATTTGTACGTGTCACAATTGTTAATTATTAATATTATTTTTAAATTATTTTATTACAGTCAGCTGAGACATCTACAGTTAGGCAATCAACTCAACACAATGATAAGCAATATCGTTAGTGCTACCCCTCCTTTTTTATTATGCCTCTCTCTCTCTTCTTTTTCCTCTCATATAATTTTATTCTTTTTTTCTCACTGTAGAACTATTTGCTATTCATAACATGCATTCACAGTTTCTCAGAGAAGGTCTGCAGCCTTTGCAGATAGACCCCGAGGATGATGAGAAACAGACTAGACAATCCTATTTTCCTACACTGGATGAAATTGTGAGTTTATTAATTCTTTCTAATGTAAAACTCTCAAAAAATCTAAATTTGATCAGAATCAACTCAAAACTTTATAACATCATGGGCTCCTGATAACATGCACATGTATATATATATAAAATAGGAAAAGTCATACCTTGCCATTTTTTAACAAAATTCTCCTAACATACCGTATAGCAGCGTAATTTTGGAGGAGCTAAAATTTGGCAAATTTTGGTAATTGGCAGATTTTTAATTTGGTGAATTTGTGGCCACGTGCCATTGAGCATGCGTATAATGGCTCAAAATGGCAGATTTCTATTTTGGCAAATGGCTATCAAAACGTCAAATTCGCCAAATTTAATTCCCTCCAAAATTACCCGCTATACGGTAATGTGCGTGAACTATAATACGTTTTGTCTTTATTAGAGCTGTGAAGAAAATGAGGAGGAAAATAAAGAAAGCGATGAGGATGAGGACGATGAGGATGACGTACTAGCTCGTACTTATGCTAGAATGATGCAGCACAGGAATCCAGAGCTAGAGGAAAGTAGAAAGACTACCACCCAATGGCTACAAATGCAATATCAATGGGTGGATAATGTTGGAAGAAATCCTAATTATTTTGATGACTGTCTCTAAGGTTATATAACATATATACTAGTCTAGATACAGTACTTATTTTTTGTCAACTTTATAGCAGTGTTGTTTGTCGTTCATATTAAAGTAACTCTATTTTTGTACAGATTACTCTTGCTAAATGTACATGTATCATGTTGTAGAGGAGGGAAAAGAGTACACATTTGTTGTAGCCAATAGTATTTTAGTGTCAAATGCCAAAGTGACAGTCAAAATGCCAAAAAGAATACTCACCTCACACCTTTTGCCTGTATATCTATATCTAGCTAATCCTATATTTAGCAACTTAAATTTAGTAACATCAATAAAAATTATAAAAATAAGTGAACAGTTGTATTGAGTCACTTTTGACTGAAGGAGCAATCTTCTCATAAGCAAATATTGTCAATACTGAGGAAAGGAATGAAGGCTCTTCTCTTCTCACTTTGTCTGGTTACTTGCCTGATTTGTGCCTTGAGGTATGTCACTATTACATATTATGTATTGTCTTCTTTTCTCATGCAGTGCACCCAATAAACAGCCAATCTCTGTTAAAATGAATTGTCGCAGAGGATCTTCTGCAGTTGCTTGCTCTTTCCTGTACACTAACAATGCCAGGGAGGATCTTTATCTGCTTACGAGTGAAACTCCCATCGAAGGATTATTGGCACCATTTCTTGATGTCTCTCTACACGGCAGTGAACCTATTCCATACGAAGGAATAATAGCTTATCGTCTTCCTCCTACAAAAGAAGACTTTCTTCTCTTGAAGGCAGGCGAGAGTTTCATTGCAACAGTTCAAATCACTGATGCCTTTAACATTGACACTGATGGCCTCTACACCATACGATACAGTAAACCATTGCTGTATCTGACAGTAGATGAGATGGAACTGCAGTCCATGGATGAGCTCAAGGAATTGGCTGTGGACGAGACCGTGTATATTGTTCTGGAAGATACTCACTCACTCGTAAAACCAAAAGAACCCGAAGAACCCAAAATGGGAAATGTTATCCACATTCAAAGTTGTTCCAGTTGTAACTTCATCGGTGGTGATCGTGACAATGAGGCTACATTGAGAGTTCATAAGAGACTCTGCAGTCAGATTGACGTAGCTAAAGGTAGAGTTGGCCCAAGTGATGCACTGTATAAGAAATGGTTTGGTGCCTATACTTCCAAAAGGGGGGACAAAGTAATACAGGCATACAACAGAATGAAAACTGGAATCTCAGGCCGCACAGTCACATACCATAATAATGGTCCGAAATGCAAAAAGGGATGGGTAGCCTATACATTTCTTACTGGCCGTCCATATTACACTGTCTACTTTTGCAATCCTTATTTTAGACTGCCAGAAAATTGTAATGGTGTTCGGTATACCAAAGAACGTGTCTTGATGCATGAATGGGCTCATGCTTTAGGCTATGCTCGGGATTACAAGTATTATTCAAAGCCGTGTCAGAAGCTGGCCGAGACTGATCCCGATAAGGCTGTTAAAAATGGTGACAGCTATAGTTTTCATTACTGTGAAAGCTATTAAGCTCATCAAGTCAGCCCTCAAGCCAAGAACATTAGTTAGAACTCATGCAACACAAGCTATGCACATTTTGCTGCTACAATAATTAATATAATATAATATAATAACATTTTCATTTCTTGGCTAATAAAAATTCAATGATAAAATCTATAAATTAATAATTCAGCATACACTAATGGAGGATTGGTGTCATACAAGTTTTGAATGATTATTATTGACAAAGGATTCATGAAACTAAAGTACAATCCTAATAATTTATGAATTCTTTGACAGCAGATTTTTTATTTACCTGCTGAGTGTATAGATTCAATCTAGAGGATGGGTGTGATTGTGGACAATAATAGATCTAATAAGAGTTACTATAATACAAGTAACTTAAAAGCAAAATAGAAAGTAAGCACAAGATACAAAAAACAATAGATGTCTGGTAGCAGATTTCTTAATTCAATGTCTGTCAACTGTGCTTTTAAAAATTCTCTGAGAGCTGAATTGACATTCAATTTTGGTACCTAATGAAACAATAAATATATTTTACAATTGATTAAGTTCTCCTCACAGAATTATATGTATCCTCCATGTTATCCCTGAATCCATTGATCAGTGATCCAATATCAGTTGGTGAGTACGTTATTCTAATACCAGTTTCAGATGCATCGATCAAACCTTATGTATGATTCCCTACTGCATGTACAAAACTAATGCAATTAAATGGATTGTACCAAGAGTACATAATACCTAAAAATATCATGTAAATGTTTAGGTATTATGTACTCTTACTTGTACTATACAAATTTAAAGGTGTTATAAATATCTAATAAAGTGCTAGGCTAGTTCTTCTCATATTTTTATACAGAGGCATACGAGAAAATACAGGTAACAGAAAACTAACATGAATAGCAGAATCAACAGCAATACTAAATAGATAACACACAAGTCATAACAAAAAATATGTGACTGGAAGAGGAAAAAGAGTACACATTTGTAATAGCCTAGTGTCGAATGCCAAAGTGACAGCCAAAAAGGATACTCACCTCACACCTTTTGCCTGTATATCTATATCTAGCTAATCCTATTTTTAGCAACTTAAATTTAGTAACATCAATAAAAATTATAAAAGCAAGTGAACAGTTGTATTGAGTCATTTCTGACTTAAGGAGCAATCTTCTCATAAGTAAATATTGTCAATACTGAGGAAAGGAATGAAGGCTCTTCTCTTCTCACTTTGTCTGGTTACTTGCCTGGTTTGTGCCTTGAGGTATGTCACTATTACATATTATGGATAATCATCTATTGTCTTATTTTCTCATGCAGTGCACCCAATAAGCAGCCAGTCTCTGTTAAAATGGATTGTCGCAGAGGATCTTCTGCAGTTGCTTGCTCTTTCCTGTACACTAACAATGCCAGGGAGGATCTTTATCTGCTTACGAGTGAAACTCCCATCGAAGGATTATTGGCACCATTCCTTGATGTCTCTCTACATGGCAGTGAACCTATTCCATACGAAGGAATAATAGCTTATCGTCTTCCTCCTACAAAAGAAGACTTTCTTCTCTTGAAGGCAGGCGAGAGTTTCATTGCAACAGTTCAAATCACTGATGCCTTTAACATTGACACTGATGGCCTCTACACCATACGATACAGTAAACCATTGCTGTATCTGACAGTAGATGACATGGAGCTGCAGTCCATGGATGAGCTCAAGGAATTGGCTGTGGACGAGACTGTGTATGTTGTTCTGGAAGATACTCACTTGCTTGTAAAACCAAAAGAACTCGAAGAACCCGAAATAGAAAGCATCGTCCACATTGAAGATTGTGCCAGTGTTACCTTCCTTGGTGGTGATCGTAAAAATGATCATACGTTAAGAGCTCACAAGAGAATCTGCAGTCAAATTGGAGAGGCTAAAGGTAGAGTTGGCTCAACCGATGCGCTGTATAAGGAATGGTTTGGTGTCTATACTGATGATAGGGGGACTCAAGTAACATCAGTGTATGACAGAGTTGAAAATGTGATCACAGACTCAAGCCAAACAGTCAAATACTACAATAATGGTCCAAATTGCAAGAGTGGAGTTGGAGCCTATACATATATTAAAAAACCTCTTCCATATCTCACTGTCTTCCTTTGTGATGCTTACTTTAAACTAACGCAAAATTGTAAAGGTGTCTCGCCTACCAAAGAACGTGTCTTGATGCATGAATGGGCTCATGCTTTGGGTTGGGCTAAAGATATCAAGTATCATGCACGGAAGTGTAGGACTTTAGCCAAGAATCATCCTAATAAGGCTGTTAACAATGCTGACAGCTATAGTTTTCATTACTGTGGAAGCTATTAAGCTCATCAAGTCAGCCCTCAAGCCAAGAACATTAGTTAGAACTCATGCAACACAAGCTATGCACATTTTGCTGCTATACAATAATTAATATGATATATTATCACATTTTCTTTTCTTGGCTAATGAAAATTCAATGATAAAATCTATATATTAATAATTTAACAGTAATGGAGGATTGGTGTCATACAAGTGCTTTGAATGATTATGAGCTACTAGTCTAGACAAAGGATTCATGACATTAACACCTAATCATTTATTAATTCTTTGACAACAGATCTTTTATTTGCCCACTGAGTCTATAGAATCAATCTAGAGGATGGCGTGATTTTGGACAATAATAGATCTAAGAGTTACTATAATACAAGTCACTTACAAGCAAAATAGAAAGTAAGCATAAGATACAAAAAACAATAAATGTCTAGTAGCAGGAAAACATTAAATTTCTTAATTCAATGTCAACTGTGCTTTTAAAAATTCCCTGAGAGTTGAATTGACATTCAATTTTGGTACCTAATGAAACAATAAATACATTTTACAATGATTAAGTTCTCCTCACAGAATTATATGTATCCTCCATGTTATCCCTGAATCCATTGATCAGTGATCCAATATCAGTTGGTGAGTATGTTATTCTAATACCAGCTTCAGATGCATCAATTAAACTTCTGTAATCTTCTTGGTATAATGTATGTATGATTCCCCACTGCATGTACAAAAGTAAATGCAATTAAGTACTATAATACAGATGTAAAAGTGCTATATAATATCTAATAAATTGCTAGTTCTTCTCATGTTTTTTATACAAAGGCATACATACAGGTAACAGAAAACTCAAATAAATAACACAATACTAAATATATAACACACAAGTCATATTGCATGCTAACAGGAACTTGCATCTACTGTGATTTGGAGACGATAAAAAATACATGACTGAAAGAGGAAAAAGAGTAGAAATTTGTAGCCTAGCCAATAGTACTTCAGTGTGAATGCCAAAGTGACAGCCAAGATGCTGAATAGTCTACTCACTTTCACACAGACATACATAGCGAAATTATAATTTCTGACTGTACATTTGACTCTAATTCATCACTCAAAGTTCATATAAATACCTGATCATCTAGATATTGTTTAATGTTCACAAGACGTCTCACCATACCAGTGAATCCGACACTCTTGGACTCTCCATTGATATTGATATTGATATTGTATGGATCAAACACATTGAACTGTGTATATGCTACTTGGACATTCACTGCATCACTGGTAGCTTGTGGTGTCACAATAATAACAATGAGGGATAGAGTACTATAAATAATTAAAACTAAAAACAAATAATTCATTATAAATATAGTACCTCCCATCATAAGTCCAGCAGTCACTGGTATATTCATCAAATGAATCTCTTAATGGACAATAACTTAATGAATTTGAGTTAAGCTGGACTTCCTCAGCTATCAATAGAGTGTACATGGATATTATAATACATTGAATCTAAAGCTTACCTGGCCAGAAGTTTGGAATAACAATTTGGTAGTTTCTTTTTGATGGAAAGCCATCATAAGTACCAATAGATGGATACACAGTCAAGCTAAGTGTCTCTCTAAAGTCAAAGTAGCAATTAGCTACAATTACATGTACAATACTTGGAGGTATCATGTTTGTAAGTAAACTTTGTGGTAGTGAAACTTGAAACTTTGTAACCTTCAGTAACACCATCATCTTCATATAAACTACCTATACCACTAATAATAAAATAGTTAATAACTTATTAATTAATAGTTACTTACTCAGTTATATCTCCAATAAACACCATC